CTGAGCCACAATTTATTTATCAGCACAAATATAACACAAATATAACAAAGGCAACAGTAAAAATATTGGGTTTCTGTCGTGATGGACTCTTGTGACGAGCTGATTCAAACTTTTATATATAGTGGCCTTATAAAATATCTGCTTCTTTCATTTCCTCGTCTGCCCATGAGACTCAAGAGCCAAGATTTATTTAAATTATTTCCTGATTCCAGCAATTGACTTTAATCTGGCCCCTTCAATGGTAATCTGCAGATCACACCATATAGTATGTTCCTAGGTGAAAATTTAAAAAGTACATCACAGTTGATTCCATCTGAATGCCAGCAATCTTTCTTTCTTTTAGTAATAATTTTGCAATGGCAATTGAAGACAGAAACCACAGAATCCAGAGGATTTTCTTACTCATTCAATATGTTGATTGGAAAGTATAATCCAGATAAAGAATGGAAGGAGCAAGGAGCGAGGTGGAATTTCCTATTCTTCCATCAACCACCTCCAACATAATAGCATGATGCTCTTCTGTTGGGGCTCCAAGCCAACTGGCTGAGTCAAGTCTTCTGACTCTTACAGAAGGTTTGGAGGGTGGAGGCAGATCTTACCATGAAAGGAAAGATGCTCCCAAGGGCTGTCATGGCAGAGAATAGTCTTCTCCTGGATCCCACCAGCTGGAATTCCTTGACTGACAGGATCCACAACATGCTTCCTCTGCTGGCATGAGGGCATCAGGCCTGTCCCTTTTGGGTAAGATGATTCCTCAAGTAACCTAGAACTATGCCATTCAGTGCTTTGTAGTAATAACCAACACATTGAATTGCATTAGGTTGGTCTAGGAAGGATGCCTTTAATATTTGTAAAAGGAGTTAAAAGCATTCGTTGAATTTCACATTTTTTAGTCCATGTGTTTGGACACAAGGGGGGACATTTTGTTTCACATACGGTTACCATGCCTTCTATAACTGAAGAACATTTATATTTATTTGCTACTACAGCAAAATTAAAGTATTTCTAAAAAAGCAGAATGACCACATCTTGGAAGCTTTCTCGCATGTACAGGGCATGGTGCTCTTACTTCAAAAACTCAAAAAATGCAAACTATCTCTCTGGGTTGCAAAAACTCTTTGGATTCTTCTTCTGTATTCTTGGACACAATGCAAATTTGAAGGACTATTGTCTTTAATCAGTGCTTAGTGCAGTGATTAAACACTTTTCGGTACCAAGTGTCAAAACTGAAATGTCCATGTGCAGATGGCGGCCAGCTGCTTTTTCAGGTTCCAGTGCATGCATTTATGTTGGCCTGCTGGTCCTCACATGAAGAGAGCAGCTGGCCAGTGCACATGCACAAAAAAACAGCTGGTTGCCACGTGCATGTACACCGGACCAGTTGCCTGGTGCACATGTATGTGCTGAAACATTGAGGAGCAGCTGGTGATGGTTTGCATGCCCACAGAGAGGTTTGCCATCACTGGCTTAGTCGATAAAAGAAACTGGCTATCCCTTGAATTTGTCAAAGAAATAACCATGAGGAATGTTACCAAAGGATGCCAACTGGCCAAGACTTTGCTGTACCTTCAGCAAGGAAGATAATGTTGATGAACCAAAAAACTAGAACTGTGGAATCCTGCATGTGGCAGATGATCCTTGAAACTTCAGCCACATGTATATAATCTCTAATTATCCTGATTGCCCCCTCCCCATCTTTTAACAGCATTTATTACTTATTATTGTTCTCATTTTTGTTTCATTCTAATATGTACCAGATGTAATGTTTGTAAGCCGACCAGAGACATCTCTGATGAGATGCACAGTAAATTTAACACATAGAAAGATAGATAGATAGATAGATAGATAGATAGATAGATAGATAGATAGATAGATAGATAGATAGATAG